CTCTGGGAGATAAATTGATTCAGTGACTGGGGCAATCATGATGAGTGTGTCGGAGACAATGAGTTTGGCACAGGACAGAGCAGAGTTCAGAGCTGTTGTACAGAGGGTCGCTATGAGTCGCAAGCGACTAGACAGCACATAACAACAACATCTTTGGGATTACAGCACAGCTTCTTACCACTAGGCTACCAGAGCTCCGACTATTATTCCTTGTTGTTGTTGAGTACTTTAGAGTTGGAACAGACCCATAGTTGACCCTCTGGGGGGTTTTCAGAGGCAGTTAATTGCACAGGAGGAGAGTTCCATCCTTCTCCCGTGGAGCAACTGGTGGCCTTGAACCATGTGCTTTTAGCATTACAGCACAGCTTTTTCCACTAGGCCACCAGAGCTCCCTATTCGTTTCTTTTGGCAGATGGAGGAATAAGTTTATTCTTATGTACAGATTAGTCAGTGTGTACATCAGCCCAGTTTGGTGGCGAGTTCTTTGGCCTTGGTCTTCTCCAGCTTGGCGATGCAGGCCACTGACGTGGGCCCCAGGATGTTGCCTCCCCAGTGGTGGCAGATCTCATATCTGTTGTAATTGGTCCTGATGGCTTCTACCAGCTTTGCCAGAGCGCCTTTATCTTCCAGGTTCACCTGTGTGAAGGCAACAGTGGTGCAGGTCTTCTGGTGGACGAGACAGCCCAGCCTGGCCTTGCCCTTGATGATACAGTAGGGAATGCCCATCTTCTGACACAAGGCCAGCAGGAAGACCACCAGCTCTATGGGGTTCACATCATGTGTGATCACCACCAGTTGGGCCTTCTTGTTCTCCAGCAGGATGGTGACTGTATTCACCCCTGCACGGAGGACAGGGAGTTTCTTGGTGGAGGTGTCACCTTTGCCAGTAGCCTTCTTCTCAGCCCGGGCCAGCAGCAACTGCTTCTTCTCCATCATGGTCTCTGGTCGGTACTTGTGGGCCAGCTTCAGCAGTTGAGTAACAGTCTGGCGGTCCAAGGCCTGGCTGATGGTTAATGGCGGGAGGCACCTTGAGTCGTTTGTAGAGGATTGCCCTCTGCCACTGCAGTCGGAAGTAGCGGGGCCATTTGACAAAGCGAGAATGGTCTCTTTTGGGTTGGATGTCCTGCCTGATGTCAAAGTTTTTAGGTCTTTTTTCCAGCAGGGGATTCACCACCTTCTTGGCCTCCTGCTTTTTGACTATGGCAGGCGCTGAGGCCACTTTTTTCCCCTTGGCCTTCTTTCCCTTTAGCATCTTGGGCAGATGCCCTATTATTCTTTGTTGTTGTTATGTGCCATCGAGTCATCTGCGACTCATAGTAACCCTACGTACAACAGCCCTAAACCCTGCTCTGTCCTGTGCCAGTCTCACTGTCTCTGACTCCCCCACCCTCACTACTCCAGTCACTGAATCAATCCACTTCATAAAGGGTCTTCCCCTCCTGCACTGTCCCTCAACCCTCCCAAGCATGAAGTCCCTCTTCAAGGACTGGTCCCTCCTTGCAACATGTCCAAAGTATGTCAGATGAAGCTTCAGAATCCTTGCCTCCAAGAAGCAGCCTGATTTAACCCTTTCCAGGATGAATCTGTTTGCTTTCTTAGTAGTCCATGGTACACTCAATACTCTTCTCCTACACCACAGCTCAAAGGCATCAATTCTCCTTCTGTCCTCCCTAGTCATTTTCCAACTCTCTGACACATAACAAGTGATTGCAAAGACCATGACCTGTATCAGGTGTACCTTAGTCTCCAGAGAGACACCATTGCTCTTCAGTACTTTGGAGAGGTCTCTAACAGCAGACTTTCCCATCGCAATACGTCTTTTAATTCCCTGGCTGCTGGTGCCAAGGGTGTTGATTGTGGAGCCAAGCAGACTAAAGCTGTTAACAATCTCAGTCTCTTCACCTCCATCCTGATGCTGCCAATTGGTCCAGTGGTGAGAATCTTTGTCTTCTTGACATGGAGCCTCAATCCATATTGAAGGCTGCAGTCCCTGACCCTCTGCAGCAAGCACTTCAGGTCCTCTTCAGTTTCAGCAAGCTGAGATGTGTCATCTGCATAACACAGATTGTTGATGAATCTTCCACCAATCCTGATGCCACACTTCTCCTTACAGAGCCCAGCCTCTTGGATGACCTGTTCTATATATAGGTTGAAAAGGTATGGAGATAGGACACATCCCTGGTGTACACCCTTTCCAATTTTGAACCATGCAGTGTTTCCTTGCTCTGTTCTGATGACTGCCTCTTGGTCCAAGTATAGGTTTTGCATTAGCACGATCAAGTGTTCTGGGATTCCCATTCTTCTTAGAGTCAGCTGCAGTTTGTTGTCAAACACCTTTGCATAATCAATAAAATACAGATAGACATTCCTCTGGTACTTCCTGCTTTCAGCCAAGATCCATCTAACATTAGCTACAATATTCCTAGTATCACAACCCCTTCTAAACCCAGCCTGTCAGTTCTCTGCTGATGTGCTGATCCAGCCGTTTTTGGGTAATCTTCAGCAGAATCTTGCTTGCATGTGGTATCAGTGATATCGTTCGATGATTTCCACACTCTGTTGGACCACCTTTCTTTGGAATAGGAACAAAAATAGATCCCTTCCAGTTGGCCAAATGGTTGTCCTCCAGATTTCTTGACACAACCTGATGAAAACATCTAGGGCAGCATCTGTTAACTGAAATATGTCAATTGGTATACCATCTATTCCTGGGGCCTTCTTTTTTGCCAATTCCTTCAAAGCAGCTTAAACTTCTTCATCAGCATAGGCTCTTGCTTATTATTATATGTTGTTTCATGAAATTCTTCTGTGTCTGCCAATTCCTTTCGGTACATCTTCTTTTAATACTTCCTGGATCATTTGATATTCTGCCCAAAGCATCCTTAAGTATAGCAACTCAAGGTTTGAATTTGTTCTTCAGTTCCTTGAGCTTAAGAAATGCTGAGTGAGTTTGACACTTTTGATTTTCTAACTCCAGCTCCTTGCACGTTTCATTGTATTATTTTACTTTGTCTTTTCACGCCATCTTTTGAAATCTTCTGTTCAGCTCTTTAATCTTGAATTTGTCCCTCTGCTTTGGCTTCACGCTGCTCTAGTGCAATATTTAGGGTTTCTTCTGACGTCCGTTTTGGTCTTTTCTTCCTCCTCTACCTTTGTAATGACCTTTTGCACTTTTTCTGGATGATACTCTTCTCTTTAGTGTTCCATAATACTTCATTGTGACTGTGCATATTGTCTTTAGCCATTTGTCTGTTCATAAACACTTGGATTGTTTCCATCACTTTGGTATTGTGAATAATACAGTGAACATGTGTAAACATATATATCAGTTCATGTTGCAGCTTTAATTTTTTTAGGATATATAGAGGGGTTGATACCTTCAGAGATGGTATTCCCTATTTCCTAAGGAAGTTTCAAATAGTTTTCCAGAGTGATTGCATAATTTTATGTTCCCACTAGCAGCGTATGAGAGTTCCAATCTCTCCACACTCTAGCCAGCATTTGTTGTTGGTTTTATTGAACTTTCTGGTGTTTCTGAGGTAAGATGATATATCATTGTTGTTTTGATTTGTATCTCTTTAATAGCTAATGTTTTATATGTTGTTGATTGCCTTTGAGTCAAGCACAACTCATAGCGACCCCATGAACAAAAGGCCCAAAGCTCCTCTACAACCATCAACATTTATCAAAGTTCATGGAGTTTCTGGAGGCATGTTACTTAGGAAGTAGATATCGCTCCTGCTTCCCAGCTTGTTATGGTATGTTATTGTTATGTGCCATTGAATCGCCTGTGATTTATGGCGACCCTATGTACAGCAGCTCTGAACCCTTCCATGTCCTGAGCCAGTCTCACTAACTCTGACACACCAACCCTCATTGCTCCAGTTACTGTATCAGTCCGTCTCATCTGGGGTCTTCCTCCCCACTCTTCTGACCATCCACTCTTCTGACCACAATGTCCTTCTCCAAGGCCTGATCTCTACTGGCCACATGCCCAAAGTAAGTGAGAAAAAGCTTCAAAATCCTAGTCTCCAAAACATACCTCTTTGTTTTCTTGACAGTCCATGGTGTGTTTAAGACTCTTCTCCAGCACCACAACTCAAAGGCATCTATTTTTATTCTGTTATCCTCAGTCATTGTCCAACTCTCTGAAGCATAATAGTAATTGAGAAAACCTTGACCTTGGTTAAGCACACCTTTGTATCTACACTGACATTGCTTCTCAGCACTATGGAGAAGTCCATGACAATAGATTTTCCCAATGTAATTTGTCTTTTAATTTCCTGACTGCTGGTGTCAAGAGTGTTGATTGTGGATCTGAGCAAGCCATAATTGTTAACGACCTCAAACTCTTCTCCATCTAATGTGGTGCTGCCAGTTGGCCCAGTGGTAAGAATCTTTGTCTTCTTGATGTTGAGCTTCAATCCATATTGAAGATTACAGTCCTTGACCTTTTGCAGGAAGTAAGGTTTTGTCATCTGCATATTTTAGGTTGTTAAGGAGTCTTCCTCCAATCCTTATGCCACACTCCTCTTCATAAAGCCGTGCTTCCTGAATTATCTGTTCTGCATACAGATTGAAAAGGTACGGAGACAGGATACATCCCTGATGAACTCCTTTGCTGATTTTGAACAATGTAGTGTTTTCTTATGAGAAGACTGCTTTTTTGGTCCAAGCACAGGTTTTGTATAAGCACGATCAAGTATTCTGAGATTGCAATCCACACAGTTAAATGATTTTGCATAGTCAATGAAACACAGATAGACATTCTTCTGGTAATCTCTGCTTTTTGCCAAGATGTATTTGACACTGGCAGTAATGTCTCTAGTGCCACGACCTCCTCTAAACCCAGCTAATATTTCTGGTAATTCTCTGTCAATGTACTGTTCTTCTCTTTTCTTGATAATCTAAAGCAAGTTTTTGCTAGTGTGTGATGTTAGTGATATTGTTTGATAATTTCTACACTCAGCTGGGTCACCTTCTTTTGGAATGGGAATAAATATGGATCTCTCCCAGTCAGTTGGCCAAGTAGTTGTCCTCCGAATTTCTTGGCACAATTTGGTGAGCACATGCAGGGCAGCATCTGTTTGCTGAAATACATCAATTGGTATTCCATCACTTCCTAAGACTTTATTATTTGCCAAGTCCTTCATGTTTTTGTTGTACATAAAAAACCAAACAAACAAACACCCGAAGGACTTGGCAAAAAAATAAAGCCCAGGAATGCAGATTCATCCTTGAGAGGGTTAAACTGGGCTGCTCCTTGGAGGCAAGGATTCTGAGGCTTCGTATGACATTCTTTGGACATGTTGTAAGGAAGGACCGGTCCTTGGAGAGGGACATCATTCTTGGGAAGGTATAGGGACAGCACAGGAGGGGAAGACCCTCTATGAAGTGAATTGATTCAGTGACTGGGGTAATCAGGATGGGTGTATTGGAGCAAATGTACAGGACAGAGCAGAGTTTAGGACTGTTGTACATAGGGTTGCTATGAGTCTCAAGTGACTCGATGACACACAACAACAACAACAACAACAACAACAACAACAACAACTCCTTCAGAACAGCCTGCATCACCATTGCCTCTTGATCATATTTTGTTTCTTGAAATTTTTCTGTGTCAGCCAATCATTTTTGGTACAATGACTCTGTATATTCCTTCAATCTTCTTTTAATGCTTCCTGAAACATTCAATATTCTGACCATAGCATCCTTAAGCATTGCAACTTGTGGCTTGAATTTATTCTTTAGTTCTTTCAGTTTAAGAAATGCTGAGCTAGTTTGGCCCTTTTGATTTTTGACTCCAGCTCCTTGCACATTTCATTATAATATTTTGCCTTGTCTTCCTGAGCAGCCTTTGAAATCTATTCAGCTCCTTAACTTCTTGACTTCTTCCCTTTGTTTTGGCTTCTCAGTGCTCTAGTGCAATATTCAGAATCTCTTCTGACATCCTTTTTGGTCTTTCTTCTTTCTTCTTTGTAATAACTTTTTGGATTCTTCATGAACAATATTCTTGATATCTTCCCACAGTTTATCTAGTCTTCATTCATTAGTTTTCAAGGACTCAAACCTATTCCCGAGTTGGTTTTTAAAATAATGGGAGATACACTCCAGGTCAAATTTTGATTTCTGTGGATATGATTTAACCTTCTTTAGTTTTAATTTGAACTTGCTTATGAACAGATGGTCTGTTCCACAATCAGCACCTGGTCTTGTTTTTACTGCTGATATCGAACTTCTCCAACATGATTAAATGTTTTGAGATTTCCCTTCTGTTCATTGTTAACCATAATTTGTTATGATTCACACAGTAAAAAAAAACAACCCAGACTTTTTTCTGACAATCTCTACTTTCTGCCAATATACATCTGACATCAGTAATGATAGATCCAGTGCCAAGGTTTCTTCTAAACCCAGCTTGAAGTTCTGGTAGCCCTCTGTCAATGTACTGTTTTAGGATGATCTTCAGCAATATTTTGCTTATATGTGATATTCATTATATTGTTTGATAATCCATTGTTAGAGAACTTTTTTTTTTCTGGGCATAGGGCAAGTTTATTTGGTGAATGCTGCTGGCAAGTATTATCTGAGAGCTACAAGATGGGAAAGGAGCTGTGACAGCCTAGGCGGCTCTCAGGACTACATACAGTCTCACATAGGAGAAGGCATGGGGCTCTGGGGACACAGGAAGGGCTGCCCTCAGCCATTCAGCACCATTCAGACGAGCTTTTCATAGTTGATACAACCATTGCTGTCCTCATGCCCTGCCACCAGCATCTCTACTTCTTCCTCTGTCATCTTCTCACCCAGTGTGACAAGGACATGCCGGATTTCAGCGCCCATGACAGTGCTGTTTCCTTCCTTGTCAAACACCCGAAGGCCTTCAACACAGTCCTCATAGGCGCCCTGGTCCTTGTTCTTGGCCACAGTCTGCAGCATGGGCAGGAAGTGTGGAAAATCCAAGACCTTCACATTCATTTCATCATTCTTAGGGTTTCCCAGGACCTTGAACACCCTGGCGTTGGTGGGGTTCTGGCCCAGGGCCCTCATTACATCTCCACACTGGCTGTACAGGATCTATCCATCACCTATTCAGTCCAACAGCTGGAAGGCCTCCTTAAATTCTGCGGTCTGGTCCTTGGTGAAGTCACACATCTTGAGCGCTCAGGTATTGGGACCTTTTCCTGCAGTAATCTAGAAAAGTTTTTTTTAAAATAACAAATATGGGTCTTTGACTTCAGTGCAGCTTGAACTTCTTCCTTCGTTACCATTGGCTCTTGATCAAATGCTTCCTCCTGAAATGTTTTAGTATTGACCAATTCTTTTTGGTACAGTGACTCTATGTATTCCCTTCATCTGTGCTTATACAGATGACACACCATGCTTGCTGACAGGGAGGAGGACTTGAAACTCTTGCTGCAGGAGATCAATCTCTCCTTCATGGACCTTCCATCTTTCCTAGCAGGACATCCATTTGCAAGGAATCAAATAGATTTCCTTCAATAAATTCCTTGAATAATAAGTTATTTTAGAAATCATTCCTTCAAGAAATAAACTCTTTGAATTTCCTTCTATAAGGATTGCATCATAACATCAAGAAGACAAAAATCTCAACCACTTGACCAACAGGTAACATCATGATAGATGGAGAAAAGATTGACATTGTCAATGACCTCATCTTACTCTACAGTTGTTGGCACTAGCATCAGGGAAATTAAAAGACATATTGCATTGGGAAAGTCTGCGTGTCAAAGGTCTCTCCAACATACTGAGGAGCAAAGATGTCAGTTTGAAGTGCACCTGATTCAGGCCATGAATTTTTATATCACTTCGTATGCATCTGAGAGCTAGACAATGAATAAGGATGACAGAAGAAAAATAGATACCTTTGAGTTGCGGTGTTGAAGAAGATTTTTGAATATCATGTACATGGATTGCCAAAAGAACAAACAGATATGTCCAGCCAGAGTGCTCCTAAGAGACAAGGACAGCAAAGCTTAGTCTCATATACTGTGGGCATGTTGCTAGAAGGGACTATTCCTTGCAAAGGAAAATCATGCTAGGAAAGATGGAAGATCAGTGGAAGAGAGGCAGGCCCTCTCCTAGCAATATTTCCAATACAATATTGAATAGGAGAGGTGATAATGGGCATCCTTGCCTAGTTTCTGTTCTCAAGATGAATGCCTTTTTT